GCCAAGGCGTTGGGGTGCAGTTGAGACGGGGCCAAGCGCAACCAATCGAAGAGCCCCAGATGAAAGGCGGAGAACGGTAACCTGAGCCGAGCCTCTTTGAAGTAGAACTCGTGCATAGGAAACATCCGCCGCCCATATCGCGAGCAGATGCGATGGTGCTCCTTCGAGCGGTACACCTGCCAATGTTGCGGCTCCCCGATAGGCGTATCCTCGACGGTGGCATAGACGTCGGACGCATCAGCCACAAAGCAGGACGGGTAGACAGCGGCTCTTCAGCCACCCATTCTTCGACCGGGGCGACGCGCTCATCAAAGTCCGGGACCTCGGGTTCGTTGTCTTCAACCATCGTCCCCGGTACCAAGGCCGACATCTACACCTGAAAAGCAGAGGACACCGGTGAATTCGATAGCTAAGATCAAATCCACCCTTCCACCGCATGTCAAGTGAAAGGGCGACAAAGTCCAGAGAACGGCGGGCAAACAGGCGCTCCCCGCCGATCCTCCCCGGGGCGTCCAAAAGCCAACCCACCATCCCTCCGCGGGACGGTCACTGGAAAAAGCGCGCGTCCCCGGGGCATTCATCGGAAAAAGCGCGCGTCCCCGGGGCATTCATCGGAGAAAGCCCCCGTCCTCGGGACATTCATCGGAACAACCGATTCTCCCTGGTAAATTCACCAGAAAATCGCCAGATACGGCGGATCTTGCGTCCCTCCTCGGGGCATTCATCATGCCCCGACCACGCATTCTAATCAAGTGGCGGAAATAAAAGGAGAAGAGAAAGAAGAACTCACTTGTAACGGTGGCGAACGGGAGGAAGAACCAAACGGTGCGGCGGCGATCGACGGCAACGGCGGACGAGCAAGGATCTCAGAGCTTCGCAGGTAAAACAACAAAGTGAAAAGTAGAAAAATGAGCGGGGACCCCCGTATTTATAACCCGGTGCGGGATTCGAAGTGACGCTAGGCTCATTAATGACATAGGGTAGCCGCCCCTACGACCGCTTAACGCACGACACGTGGCGGCAACCTGACAGTCGCGCCCCTTCACCTGCTGTCACCCCGCTCCGCCGACGACCGGGGATCCCCGCGCGAGCGCCCGTTCCACCGCGCCCGAATCCCGACGAACCTCCCGTTTCGCTACCTCTCTCCCCGACACAGCGACCTTAAGTCCTCGCTCTTTCCCAGAGCTTCGACTTGGGGGGCTCCTGTTCTGGTCTGGGCCCGACCTCGGTCCAGCCCAATACCTCGCACGGTCCAATAAGTGAATTGGCCACGCCGGGCACGCACGCCCCGCAGGACGGGTGGAACACACCACCGGACACAGGCGACGCGTCCAACAGCATCTCGCCGTCCCCTCTTATCAGCCGAACAGGACGCACCCCAGCGCATCGAAACGAGACCTTGGTTCCTCCCCAACCTCGCGAGCTCCCCTCCGCGAGGAGAACAACGTGCCCGGCGCACGTTCTCCACGTGCTCCCCTCCGCGGGGACACGTCATCAACCAACTGCCCACCTCCGAAAGAGTAGGTTAAACCCACTTTTCGGAGATCTAGGAGCGGTTGGACTAGGGCGAAGACCACGTCCTGGTCTTCACTACGCCACGTAAGCCCTAGCAGTCATTAGAGTTGGGCCTGGTCATCCAGCCCATCTCAAATGACCGTTGGCCCAACGCTGGGGTCTCTCTATAAATACCCTCTTCCTCAAGAGGGTCAGGTAACACACTTTTTACCCCTCTTTCTGTACTTCGCCATCGCTCTGCCCAACTTCTCACTTTGCCATCGGAGTGTCTTGCAGGTACACCCCCCTTTCTTCCTCATCACCGGTGAGCAAGCAGCAGTCCAACAGAGTGTGGCCAGTCCGTGATCCTCTTCTGATCAGGTCAGATCAGATAGGAATTACTAAGTGGAGAAATTGTGAATTATCCTTCCTCTTTTTTCTTCCTGTAGCGAAATCAATATGATCGCGCAACACTTGTTATTAACCTGTAGCACAAGAATAATGGAAGTGAAAAGTACTACCTATTGGTTACTCGTTGTAGTGATAGTAATATATGAAATGAAATATATATACTTGAAATCCTGTAGCAAATATATATCAAAATTTTCAAGTATATTAATTATAGAATTCTGTTTAAATAAATGAAATTATATTTAATATTGAGTAACTATATTGAATATGGAATATCTATATTAAATGTTGAATATTTAGTGAATATTAAATAGTTATTGATTATTTATTAATTATTGATTATTTAATTAAATTTTGACTATTTATTCGGTATCGAATTTTTAATTATTTATGATGATTAATTGTTTTATATTTTATTAGTGATGTGTGTTTTGTGAATTGAGGTTGAATTATATGGATACTTATATATTACTTACTAATTGTGGTGATGATGTTTGAAGTAAGAATGCTATGATTTGTGAAAATGTGTTTGTATGTGCAAATTTGTGTTAATTCAAGTGAGATGAATTATTGAAGATATGCATGGATGTTAAGATTAGGGAATAGTTTTAATTGCATATGATTGTTGAATTTGCATATGCATCATTTGTGTCAAGAGACAATGTTTGTTAGTTCCGTGGGAGCTAATGACTTGTCCCAAACCTAGAGCAGGGTTTGAAAGCTTGGGAAACAGGCTTTTGTGTATTATTGTTCTAGGGAACGGACCCAGCTTAAATGTAAAAACTGAAAAATAATAACAAATGTTGGTACCACATGACATGAGTTGCACTGAGTTTTGCGTTGAGTCTCGTTGTGTATATGTTTGAGCTATGAGAGTATGTGTATATATGTAAATTGTTGAAATAGGTGAAATTGCGGATTGTGTGTATATACTTGTGAATAATATGGTTACTTGAGTGATACTTTGTTGATAAAACTTTAAAGTGTGAAAATAATTGAATTATGCTTATATACTTTAGATTAATTATTCTCTTATAATTTCAATAATTATGCGAATTCTCACCCTTATGTTGAAATGATGTTTTATACCACATTGCTCGGGTACCGAGGAGTAGAGTTGCTTCTAACGTGAGGTAACCGTTGGAGTAGCTTGATTTGTGTCTTTATTTATTTGGGACGAGTCATGCTCTGATTATGTAACACTTGGGAATATTTCGAGTTCATGTTTTGAGAGATACTTTATGTACTCTACTTCATTCTGTTATTGTTATTTTGAATTATATGAAGTATTGGCTTTTATGCCTAAGTATTGATTATGAATGAGATGAGCATGAGACTTTCATTATATCAATTATGATTGAATTCAATCTGCTGCTACATGCTAATGTGAAAGTGTATGAAAAACATGAATTTATTTTAAGTGTTATTGAGCATGACAGGTTTATGTGATGTTTTGAAATTTTATGTGACACCCTTTTGTGAGATGCATGAGAATTACTCTGATTATTTATATATATTTCGTGGGGTTTAGAAGGGTGTTACAGACATCACTTGTGACCTAGAAACAACAGTTAACAAACAATCATTATCAACCTATCACTAAGTTTATATGTTACCATACGATTGAGAAATACATATTACATTAGAAACTACAAACCATATGAATTAAAAATTATCATAAACATCAGTTTATTATTAGTTTTCAATACTCCCTTTCACTAAATCTTTGCCGAAGTCGTTCATTTGCTTCCCTTTTTCAAAATCATCTTCTGCAACATGCTTGGAATTAGCTACACCTTTTTTGGGCAAACTTTTCATTACAACAATCCCTGAACCACTGCGCATCTCCTGAAATTTAGCAAACACCATATCTATTCTATTTCTTCTCCAAGGATCTTCTATCATGGACTCAGACAAAGACCCGCATTTAATAACATGATTTCCAATAACATACTTCTACTAAAACTTTTTAGCAATTGTACCATGCTCAATCATAATGACACAGAAACATTCACTCCGATTTGTTTCTTATTTCCCCAAGCATGACACAAATCTAATATTATTTCAATAAATATATTATGATTTTTATTATGTAAACAAATCTGTTTTATTTACCTTTGATCTCCACATTCAAAATTATTCTTGCATCCTTCTGAATATAAACTGCTTTTCTGTTTTGGCATATCAGGCGATTTCAGTTTTCCTGCGATTAACATTTTCATTACTCCATCATTATACCTACTGACCTTCCATGTATCAACACTTTTATACTTTCCCCGTGAATCTCCGTCTATTACTTCTTTCCCTGTGACATTCATCAAACCCAGCAAATCAAATATGTAAACAAGTATACAAATTTTTTTATTACAATCTTAGATTTTATTACTATTACGTGTATATATTACTCGAAACATGATAAACCCAAAGAAACGCAAGATTGTATACATACCAGTAGTTTTAAGGCGGTGGCCGTCTTTAATGGCTGAAACCCTGTAGATCTTTGAGGAAGTCAGACAAACAATCTGAACTTTTACAATCCTAACACAAATCCTTTTTCTCTTCTATTTGGAAATCTGAAGAGACATGTTTGACTTATTTTAAGTAATTTATGTGTTTCTTTCGTTTTTCCAAGCACTATTAGTAGTAGATTATTTAATATTCTCAACAAATTATTTTAAAAAAAAATTCTAAACTATATTTTTTTATTATTTAAAAACTTAAAATAATAATATTACACTTACAATAATAAAACATTTTCAATATGTGATTAAAAAAATTATTAAATTATTTGTGGTCTTTAAACCTCCTATTTTTTAATTATGGTCATGTTTGTCAAGACCCAAATCTGCCCCAGATAACAACACTATCTATACAGATGTAGTGATAGATGATTACTTAATTATTTTAATTAATTATTTTTTTACAATAACATATATTTTTGATTGAACAACACGTTTTAATTTATATTTTTTTATTAAAAAATTTTATCCGTCATTATTTTTTTTTTCATTTTATTTTTCTACATTTGGTGACCCATGTGTTCCGTCTTTTACTAGTTGTAAACAATAACTAAAAATAATATAGAAAAATATGAATCATTGAAGAGTGATATCCATAACTTTGGAATAGCTAATAATAACCTTAGGAATGGTTATGTAAAGAACACCATTCTTAACCTCAGCCTTAATATTCTCAAACTTCACATTTTCCGGCAAAGCAATTCTACTACTATATCTACCATAGTTTTTTGAAGACCATTCTTCATCTTCTTCGCTCTTCTTCTTCGATGCTTTTTCAGCTTTAACCACTAGCATCTTCTCTTCCACCCACACTTTCACGTCCCCGTTGTTCATACCAGGCATATCAAATCTCAGCTTGTATTCGCCTTCTCCTTCTTTAATCTCCCACGGTGCTCTTCCCCTCCTTCTATATCCACCCACTCCTTCACTCGGTAGAGGTGACGAAGGCCACTCAATTGTGCTCATTGCAAATGGATCTTCCATCATTCTTTCCATTGTTTGCATCATCTCTTGTACTGTTCTCGCGGTAGGAAATCGATTATCCCATATAGGTATCGAAGGAACAAGTCTCTTTTTGGGTTGAGGCTGGTGGTTTGACCTTGAGGTATGGTCGAGTTTTTCTCTTGCGTCGCCTGTCATGGCGATGAGGGGTTTCAACTTTTGTAAGGAAGAGAAATGAGTTGGTTTCAATGATGTCTTGGAAATTATGGCTTGGTAATTAAGACCCAAATTTGAGGATAAAGTTTGTGCCATTTTATGTTGGTGCTTGTTTTTTTGATGAAGTAAATATGTTTAGTTTGTGAAATATATACATGTTTGGAAACGAATGATGGAGAGTTCTGGAAAGCATGATATGAACTGCTTAATAGGTCGGCAAGAGCAGTTGGTGGGGACCTGAGCTCATGTTTCCAGTTTCCAGATTTTTCGAGAACCAGATATATTATAGTGGAATAGGATAGTCACAATATATGATGAATGTGAGATAAACCTTAACCTGTTAAATGAAAGGTTGAACTTGCATGCACCACAACTTAATTGTGTGGTTATATTCCCTTTTCTAAATCAACATTTTATAACTGTTGATACGGCTTTCTGTATGGATGAAAGTTGGCCATTTGTTTTTGTTTTTTGTTCTTTAAATGTAACATGGAATAATTTATGTCACTTCACTAACCATTTATAATTTTAATTTTGGCCTTATGGGTCTAAAACCATGGCTGGCAGGATTTGGATCCTTTTGATATTAAGTCCACTTGATTTAATCGTTGATATTAGTTCAATCTAATCATAAGGCTGTAGAAGTTAGTTGTGTTGTATAGACATTTTATGTTCAAGTATAAAAGTTGAACCTACACATATTGTAATTTATTCATAGAGAAACAATATGCAAGATAGAAAGTTGGTTATCCCCTCCAACTAGTTATGTTATTTTCTATTAGATTTCTATTAATATGGTATCATTGAACTTGTGAATCTATGGCTCCTCATAACATTATAAATTCTGACAGTTCAGGTTTTTTCGATATTGTTTTAGATCAAACATGCTTTTATTATGTTCATTCCAGCAATGGTCCATCTTCGGTCTCCATTACTCTGGTTCTCAATGGATCCAATTATCACAGTTGAGCGTGATCAATGCACAAGGCTCTTGGTGGAAAAATAAAGTTTGATTTTGTTGGCGAAACGATTTAGGTTCCAACAAATCCCTTTGATTTGAGTATTCATGCTTGGACTCGTTGCAATATGTTGGTCCACTCTGGGATTATACGCTCCATTTCAAAATCTATTGGTCAATATATCATTTATATGGAAAACACCATTAATGTTTAGAATGACCTCAAAGAACGCTTTCCACACAAACATTTGGATCGTATTTCCAAATTACAACTAGAGATTTATGCTTTAAAGCAAGATAATCGCACGATAACTAAAGTTTTTTCTCATCTTAAAATCCTTTAGGAAGAATTAGAAATGTATAGACAATACATACATGCAATTGTCATGTTCATTGTTCTTGTGAAGCTATGTGAACTCTTTGGTTTAATCATAATCTTCTTTACGTTATTCGTTTAACTGGACTGAATGAGGATTTCAATGTTGTTAAGTCTCAAATCCTATTGATAAATCTCTTGCTTACCTTAAACAATACTTGTTCCATGGTTATACAACATGAACGCCAGATCACTCATATTATCTTTTTCACTAATGAGTCTAAGGTCCTTGATAATGATGTTGATAATAGGAAACTTGTTTTCAAAAAATAAAAATATGGACAAAGAATTCGCATTTCTATGGCAAATCAGGTCACACAATTCATACATGTTATCTTAAACATGGTGTTCCCGCTCACTTGAAACGAAATTCTAATTCAATGGCTCATAATGTTAATGCAGATGGTACTAACAATACTCATATTAATTCAAGTTGTGACTCTCAAGTTGATCATCAGCCTCCACCACAATTCATTACTAAGTGGTACAACACTCCTCATCACTTCTTCGGGCTTCAAATGATGGCAAACAATGAATCAATACTTATGGTTCCAATAAGGTGAGCTCATCTTATTCAACGAGTCATCCATCATTTCTTTATACATGTAACACGCCTGTTTCTTATTATTTTGCCAACAAAATAATTCTTGGCTCTTGGATTATTAATTTCGGAGCTAGTGACCACATTTGTGGTTCCTTCCATTGGTTTCTTTCTTACCATGACATTAGTGTGGAACCATATTTTGCAAGTTATTGATCAAGAATGCTCTTTTGAGATAAACATACTTTTGATGATGACAATTAGTCTTTAATGATAACAACTAAAGTAAAGTACAAAGCGACCAAAATATGTAAGCATGTTTAATAGGGTTTGATGAGTTTGATCCTCTAATGATGGCATTTAAATGATGTAAAACTCAAGCCTCATATCTAAGTAAAGCTCAAGCAAGTGTCTATATGAATGAAGTACCTGATAAGTCTTGAAGTGTGCGAAAGCTTACCCTAATGCGTATGAGTGAACAATATATTGTAAAAACAGAAGGTCTTTCTCACGAAGTTATACAGCTAATCACCCACACATACACGCGCACGCATGCACGCGCGCGCGCACACACAGGCACACAAGTAATCAAATACATGATGGGGAGCAAGAAAAAAAAAGTATGCCTACCATATGGAAATCTGATGACAAAGATCCTAGAACACCCATGATTCAATTTCGGAGAAGAAAATTACATAGAAGATGTGAAAAAATAGGATAATCAATCTTGGAAGGAATGAAGTATGAGATCATCAATCAAAAAATGACTGAAAATCCTTCAAATGAGAAGAATAGAAAAGTAAGCAATCAACAAGCACCTACAGACCTATACGACTTTGAATAGTCTATTCCATAGCTACCCTCAGTTGATGATGTATTCAAAGTCATGATTGGAAAGATTGACGTGATCAATGATAAAATAGACTTCATAACTCATCACATTATCCCATACTCAGCGTAACTACCATGAGACATGTTCTTGAATGATGATTTTAATGAAGAATAATCTCACTTATATGCTTTAGTTTTTAAGTTTGTTTGTTTCTCACTTTTTCACAATGTTTTTGAATTCTGCTTTAAATTTTGCAACTTCTTGATTTTTCTACTCTAAATTTCAACAATTTTAAATTAATAATATGTGATGTTTTCCTTTCCTAAATTTTTATTTGCGAAAATGTTTGAATATTTAAATTATCACAATGCATCTTTATCCACCTTTTTTATTTCGACAAAGGGGAATAAGTATAATCTCAGTGAGGAGTAAAGTATACTCTCTACTTAATTGAGAGGGAGTTTAAATATTTCAAATATTTTGTTTGTTTATTTTACCACCTCCTTGATAGATGCGTTGTCATCATAAAAAAGGGGGAGAATGAGAAACCATGTTTTTCATATTATTGATTAAGGAAGCTCTCTTGAAGATGAACATGCTTTTGACGATCACAACTAGTCTTTAATGATAACAACTAAAGGAAAGTACAAATAGTCAAAGATGCAAGCAGACTTAATAAGGTTTGGTGAGTTTGATCCTATGATGATGGCATATAAATGGAATATAACTCAAGTCTTATCTCTAAGTAAAGCTCAAACAAGTGTCTATATGAATGAAGTACCTAACAAGTCTTGAAATGTGTGAAAACCCGCCCTAATGTGTGTTAGTGAACGATATATTGTAAAAGCATAAGGTCTTTCTCGTAAAGTTATACAACTAATCACACACACGCACTCACACACACACACACACACACACACACACACACACACACACACACACACACACACACACACACACACACACACACACACACACACTGAAACAAGTTTTAAAACATCTTTCTCCTAAGAAATTTTTTCTTAAAATGTCTTAAAGTTGAGTCCTATAAATTAGGAACTGTCAGAAAAGTTTTGGACAATTTTTAGTACTTATCAATCGATTGACACCTATATCCAATAGATTGGGTCAGTGTAAAAAAGTGCCCTAATTGTTTAGGACAGTACCTTAATGAATGGTAACAACTATATATCTTTTCTTACCTTTTAAACCAATTAAAAGATTAATTTTATGCCTACCAATCGATTGGTACAGAATCCCTCATATTTTTACATCCAGAATTGTGAGCTCTCATATCTCATTCCTCACTCTCTCTCTAAAAATATTTTTTTATGTTCTCTCACTTATAAAATTAGTCATAGTAGTTTCTAGAAAGGTATTTTGCGAGTGAGACATTTGTGTAATTCTAGAAGGGTATAATTTTAAATTCACCAAGGAAAATTTATTTTTATATTGGTTGAATAATTTATCCATTTAGGGATTTTTATTTGGGTCCAAAGCTAAACCTGTTAAAGTCTTTGGTTTAAGGAATTAGTTATTAAGTCTCTGTTTAGGTTCGAAAGCTCAGCTTGTTCAAAAGATTTCTAAGGTTCAAAATCATCCCGGTATAAAGTCTCAAGTTGGTTCATGGGTACCTTGTTTAAAACCCTGGTTCAGTTTGTAAGCTTAGCCCAGATAAAAGCTTAATAAGGTTGGAGATATGTCCGATAAAAAATATCCTAGCTTCGTGGTCAACCCATTAAAACCTCAGCTCGTTTTGAGTTCAACCTGTGTTAAAAGCTCACTAAGACTCGAGATTTTCCTGTGTAAAATCTCGATTTAAAGCTTGAAGACTAACTGCTCTAAGTTATTGCTTGGAAAGAATTCTAACCGCTTCAATCCATCGTTTAGAAGGAAGATTCACTTCTTCTCTCCTTGTTTGTTGTTTGATTAGAAGTTAGTCATAAAGTTCATTTTCTTTATATAAGAGGGTTCAAGAGTTCAACCTATTAAAACTTCATCATTGAAATTCTGGCACTTACATACCATATGTTGTAACAGATGTCTCAACACTAGTAATCAAAACAGAAAGGGCACAACCCACTACTCAAACATTCAGCCATCTTGATACTGTTGTCAATACTGATGTAATAGAATATCAGAACACAAAGTCATGCAAGATGTTATGACATCTTCAGACTGACATAAAAATTTATCCAACCATTTGAATTATGAAGAATTTTAAATGCAGAAAGATAAATAACATAAAGGATTGTTAACCCAGTTTGGTGCAACATCACCTACATATGGGGGCTACCAAGTCAGGAAGGAAATCCACTATCAGTAGTATCAAGTCAGAGCTAAACCCACCTGTTTACAACCCATCACTTAATCCCTACCCAATGTAACT